TTTGGGGAGTCTGGGTGGCTCAGTCAGTTAAGAGTCCAACTCTTGATGCTGGCTCAGGTTGCAATCTTGCTGTCATGAGATCGAGGCCCGTGCTGGGCTCTGTGTGGAGCATGGAGCCTGCTTGGGATTCTCTTTCTCCCTCTCTCTCTGCCCCTCCTCCACTGGTACATGCATATTCTCTTTCTCTCTCTCAAAATAAATAAATAAGTAAACATTAAAAAAAACTTTTTAGATCTAATTACTCTTTAACACTTAAAATTTTTTGTTTAGTTTTATAGTTTTCTTACATTTTGAACACTTCCTTCCCCTGCTTTTACATCTCTATTGGCTTCTTTAATTCTGCCAGAATCTTTCAACTTCTCCTCCAACCCTATATACCTAAGAACTATTTGGCTTTAATTTTTAAAAATCTAACCACAAACATTTTCACTATCTTTCAGTTTTCCTTCTGAAAATATTAAACCATAAAATTGGTGGATAAACTTACCTATAACCAACGTCTAAGAGTAATAGGAATTTCATTCATTGGGTAATTAAAGAAGTTCTACAAAGTTTCAGGTACACAAAGGCAAATACCTAAGGTGAGACCTGGGACTACAGACCCTAGGCAAACTAATTCTAAAGACATTACTATTTCTGTTATACCAAATATCTCTACCTACCTAATTCCCAAAATATCTTATCTCAGTAAATACAAACAAACCACTTCTTTTATCTTCATGAAAGGATCAGAATTGTTGGTTGACAAACTATTAGTATTATAATTTTAAACATGGTACAAAGAGAAGGAATACACAAATCAAGTGAACAGAAGAGAGTGTAGAAACAACTGCAAATACACATGGGAATTTATAGTGAAGGTGACATTTCAATCCAGTGGAGAAAAGGTGAATTATTCAATTAATGGCATTAGAATACATAGTCATTTGAAGAAAAATAAAAAAGCTAAATTCCCCTATCACTCTTTAGGCTTAAAATAACTCCCACAGGAATAAAACTCAAATATAAATTTTACATGAAAATATAATTACATATTATATTGTATATAGTCTCTGAAATAGGAAATACCTATCTAAACATAACTAAATGCAGAAGCCATAAAGGAAAGGTCAGTAAGAGTATGTAAAAAATTATAATTTCTGTAAGGCTATAGAAGACTATAAAACAAGGTAAGAATAAACAAATGACAAATTGGGGAAAATATTTGCAACAAACATGATAAATGGCCAATTATCATGTTATCAAGAGCTTCTATAAATCAATAAGGAAAAAAGAGAACAAGAGATGAATAAATGATTGGAAGAGGAAAAAGAAATATAAATGAGCTATAAACATACAAAGTACTCAATCTCATAAATAGAAAATGCAATTTAAAATATTAAGGTACTATTTTTATCTAGTAGATTGACAAATATTTTAACATTTGCCAAAACCTAACTTCCTCAATACTTCAGGGTATGGGGAAATAGAGACACTCATACATTATTGGTAAGAGTGAAAAGTGGTACTCTTTTGAAAGAGCCATTTGACAGTAACTATAAAGAAATTTTAAAATAAGTTTGTTCCTACAATAGTCATTCAGTAAAAAATCAGATATGTTCTACATGTCCAAAAAAAGGGAGGAGGCATATAAACAAGATATGGTACATCCATACAATTCAACAGAATGTAGTAAACACGTCCAAGTCATACTAAAAGAAAATAAGGTAAAGAACAATAGATTTAGTATGATACTATTTGTGTAAATAAAAATAAAGGACATAAACATACAAACACTTGTATGGGCATACAAATTATTGGAAGAAAACACCAGAAATTTAACTTTATTCCTTGAGTGCAGGACTAAGAGCAAAGAGAAACATTCACTTTTTCATGCCACAGATTACATCTTTTTATCAGGAGTGTTTTATTTAAAAACAGAACTTTAAAAATAAAGAACAGTTTAAATATTCCATAAACATTGTTTTTGATTGAAGAAATACAATTAACATATATTGAACACCTACCATGGCTAGTTTTGTAGCACAGACTGGATCTTAAGCAAATAAATTATAAATAAACTATTATAATTCTGAAATTCAACTTTATCTTTCTATAATCATTTACTCTACATATAGTTCATTTTTCATAAAGTGAAAAAAGTATTGCTTTTCTTCTTACCCACTGCTTTCAATCCCTTCACATTAATTTTTTCCAAGTAACAAATTCTCCCAGGAAATATTTTGTTCCTTGAAAGTATTTCACTCAATTCATTATCACAAAGCTAAAGAACATGATTAAAATAATTAAGAATGACTTAATTGTTAAACTAAAATAAGAGCGAATTTAACAATAAATTAGGTTCTATCAGAAAAGGTGGGCTCAGATAGTAAGTTCACCAATAAGTAGTATGTTACGGTTACAGCAAAGTCACGATTCAAGTCCAGATTTCTCCACATATGAATACTGTCTATTTTATAAGATGCCATGTGAGCAAATTCAACACTGCCATTTATTTTTTGTCTTCAGAGGTGAAGTGATATATATCATAGCCCATATTTAAGAAAAGCAAAGGATACCTATTTAACAGAGATAATTAGTATTACATTTTTGTTATTTAACTCAAGTACATGTTCTATTTGTAAACTTCATTGTCAGAAACTCATAGAATTCAGTTGTATTTTATAACTTCCTTGATATATGGAACAGTGAACCTGTGAACCCACAGTCAAGGAAAAGACTGAAAGTTGAAGGAGTTCAGGAATATAAATGCTTGTGTTTCTCCTTACCACTTGTTTCACGGTCTCTAAGACTACCACTCAGAATTTGCTGCCTCATTCATCTTTTTAACCTTCCCTACCACTATTTAGCTTAGTGAACACCACTAGATTCCTTCCTCATCTCTTTCAAATTGTTTCATTTTCCCACCCATTTCTTTGACCCTATACCACAATGAAGGATCTGGAGGCAAATATAGGTATAACAAAAACAACAACAAAACTCAAAAACAAAAACTACAAAGAACAGGTTTTTTTTTTTCTGAGATGCAATGTAATTATTTACTAAAATTTTTTTTCCTTCAATAAGCCACACACTATTACCATAGTTCATAACTCAAAACTATATTTAACTCTACAGAAACAAGCATAGTACTCTAGGAATACTACTATTTAGTAAACAATAAAGTTTCATTCCTCCCCATTTTCACATCAACCAACAGCTTATTTTCAAAGTGTAGTAGCTAATAAGCATCTGATAAGATACAAAAGAAGGAAGGATAGGAAGACTGGAGGAAGGACATTTCAAGATTGTAAAACACGTTTCTATCCACTGTTCTGTCCTCTAGCATATACAATAATCTATCTCAAGGGAAATAAAACCCCAAAATACAAAACTAGAAACAACTTCAAAATACACCATAATGTACAACATACAAGTCAAAATAAATACTGAGCTTTTATATGTTCAAAATATTTCTTTAAAATTGTCCCTAAAAATGGAGAGTAGTAGTTTCATTCTTTTTTTAAAAAAAATTTTTTTTTTCAACGTTTATTTATTTTTGGGACAGAGAGAGACAGAGCATGAACGGGGGAGGGGCAGAGAGAGAGGGAGACACAGAATCGGAAACAGGCTCCAGGCTCTGAGCCATCAGCCCAGAGCCTGACGCGGGGCTCGAACTCCCGGACCGCGAGATCGTGACCTGGCTGAAGTCGGACGCTTAACCGACTGCGCCACCCAGGCGCCCCAGTAGTAGTTTCATTCTTAATACTTACAAACAATTCCTCTATAGGTTTTTCCCACTCAACACTCAACTAAGTTTGTTTTCAAACTTTGAACATATATGAGGGGCAGAATGTACCAAAAAAACCCAGAAAAAAAACTGTAGGATTTCCCTTAAATGTGTAACATATACATACCTGAGTCAGATTTAGAAATCGACACATATTCAAAGTATACTTTTTATTTTTACAAGCAATATAAATTTTATCATAATGTGAATTCTCTTTGAAAGTATCAGTATAATCTATCATTAAGTTTTAACATACCCATTTCTGGATTTTAAGACAACAGTTCCCTTAACTGACCTCCATTTAACAGACCTGTTTTAGCCAACACTTTTTTTTTTACTTTTATTAAATAATGGCATACTGACTACACTCAACTTGTAAGCTATTTTTAATATATTTAGGCACTTCTGATCTCACAGGTTGAGTTATGTTTAACAAATCAGTTGGTTGTTCTCAAACCTGTTTATGCCAGTTTACTTGTGATCCTTGCATAACTTAATTAATATTAGGTAAGTCTATGGAATACAAGTGCAAAAAGAGGGTTGTTTCTATGTAAACTAAGTTGAATGCAAACTAAGTAGAATGACTCAATAAAGGTGAGTCATTCTTTAAAAAGGTATTGAATTAGACAAAGGTGAGACATCTGTAAAATATTAAGGAAAACATAAAAAAGTCAGAAGATCCTATACTTAGGTCTTTCAAAACTATCTTTAAGCATTTATCTCACTTTAGAGAAATCAAAACTGGAAATTGCAAATCATGCATTATGGATATATTTACAAGCACTCCTCTCAATTTCACATTTGAGGAGATGGTGTTAGCATTACATCAAAAAGCTGGCAAATGAATATAAATTTGCATATTTTAAGTTAAAATTTTAAAATGTTAAGATACATTTTTTTTTAGTTTTCTGCTTTACCTTTTTCAATAACCTACCATGTAATTGTCATTATCTCATCAGATATGAAGTCTTCAAATGTTTTTTTTTCTGCATCCCTTGTTTAAGGGCTTGCTGTAACAACTAGATATATAGTACCCGTCTTTATAAAGTAATAGTATCTAGTAATAAACACTGTAAAATAATTTTATGGAAAGAAGTATTAGACTTTGTGCTCCACAGAGGCAAAGATCTTTACTTGTTTTGTTCACAGATATATCCCTAGGACCTAAACAAGTTCCTAGTGTATAGCTGATGCTCAATAAATACTTGTTGAATGAAGAATAGGAACTTACTGTGATGACAGCCTTGCTAAGACAGATGGATCCTCTGCAGCCGTACTCTGTCTCATCTTCAGATTTGTAGTAACTCAGAGTATTATTTTTCAAAACTACCCAACGATCCTGCCACCCATGAATGTAGTTTGTCCACTAGAGGTAAGGGGATGGGGTGCGAGGGAAAAGAAAAACAAAATATAAAAGTCAGTATTTTAGAAATCCAAACTTTCTGAAACAAACAATCTAATTTAAAACCAAAATGTGAAAAGCTCTAACTTAATTATAAACAAAATGATTATGGGGCACCTGGGTGGCTCAGTCAGGTAAGTGTCAGACCTCAGCTCAGGTCATGATCTCCGATCCATGAGTTCAAGCCCCGTGTTGGGTTCTCTGCAGAGCCTGCTTGGGATTTGATTTTCAGTAATTTTTACAAAATTACAAATAAATATTGTATTCTCTTCCATTTAATATTTGAGGAATAAAACTGTTTCAGTTAAAAATTCTGCTCTTCATTTATGTGCTTCATCCTCCCCTCCTCAGCAACTTCATGAGACTTGGATTGTTTTGTCACTGCCATAATTAACATATTCAACAGAAAAGTCTGGTTATGTAGCCTCTCATTCTCTTACACCAAGTACTGCATGAAGCTTTGTAAATCAACAGAAGTATTAAGCTAATCATGGCCAAATTCTACTTTGGTTGTAAGTTACTAATATATGAACATATATGATATTTATGACCACATCAAAGTAAAAATACAAGATCATTAATCTTTAAAAGTCTGTATCAACTCTACTGTTTCCCCCACAGAACTCAATGCTACATATTTAAAAGTTCATTCATTTTCCAAGTTTCTCTGAATATCTACTTTTTAAATTCAAGAGTAATAATATATTGTGTATTAAAAAAACTAGTTTTCAAAAACATACTTGGATTATCAGTTTCTAGTACCTACAAATGGTTTCTGTGTTGCTAAAGTCTTGATGCACAGTACAGATCACAATCAATAATCTTGCAAAGGCGGAAATGTAACCTCTATGGGAATTCTTGATTTTGCATATTTTAATGCTCTGGGGGTTTTACGTATGTAAAGACAATTCCAAAAACTATCTAATTCCAAAACTATCTGCCAAAAACTAATTCAAAATGGATTGTTAAAAATATATTGCATTGGCTCAGGCTCTTTACCCATTGAGAAATCTTTACTTTTCTATTTCCTACTCAGTATGTTTGAGACATTGCAGCTCTTAAATCTTCTAAGGTTCATCTTTAGAACCCCTCCCTAAGAGCTTATCTATGTTGGCAATTTAATACATTCTCTCCTCTGAGCTCTCTAATCACCATTTCCTTATTTCTAATTCCCAGTGACTTACCATTAAATTACACAATGAGTTGAAATAATGATGGTTACATGTAAAATTGAATTCATCTCCTCTTATAAGGTACATTTTCCTCCTTATGTTTCTATTTCCTTGGCTATACTGGTATTTGTGCAACCTGATTCATATTCAAACCTGGCTCAGTGCTCCTGTACTATGTGGACAGAACAGAATATACAAAATCAGATAGATTCTATTAGTTGTGTGATGAGTTTTGACAAGTTATTTAACTTCTCTGTGCTTTAGTTCCTTTCCCTATTATTTGAATGGCTGAAAAAAATCATGAATGCCTCCACTACAGTTTTAACAGATGCTGCTCCTTGTCAATGTCTATAGCCTGTCATCAACTCCTATTCATCTTTCCTTCATATAAAACCCTTACATTTGGCTCTTCTTCTCTATTTTCAATTAATACAATGATTATCAGGTTACTAGGCTCTTAGAAAGGCTTAAGAACCTTACCTCTAATATCTTCTGCATTTTATTTCATAACTTACATAATTTTACTTATTAAGCACATAGGCTTACTTATCTCACATATTAATCTCAATGAACCTCTAGCTCCAAAACTTATGTGGACAACTCCCCATTGTCTGTAATACAAATTATTTAGACTGGCATACCTTAACGCTGCCTCATTCCACTTACTGCCCCTCAGAGGGCTGGTAACTGTGTGACTGTGGTCAAATTCCTTACTGTTTCTTTGTCAAACTTTACCTCTTAAAGTTGTCAAGATTAAACAAGAATATACTTAGAATACTGCCAGGCACAAAGTATTTTCTCAGTTGGAGACAGAGTTATGCAGAGCTAATGAAGCTTAAGCTTCAGTGCAGTTCACTAGAACAGACCTCTTCCAGAGTGACAGAATGGGCCCCAGCAATTGTGTACCATAATTTTATACTTTTTTTTATAGAGGACCCATTAAATTACATAAGCTTCAGGCCCCTTTACTCAGTAAATGTTAGCTCCTACTATCACAACTAGAAGGTAGAGTTTTGGTTTCTCATAACGTCTCCTCACTCTTCCCCAACTAACAAAGACAAAGCAATATGCTAGACACAGCAGAAGAATCAAAGATTTCTGTTCCCAAGAGTTCAGCAAGCACAATTTCAAGAGGAAAAAAAAAATCATTTACAGTAAGAGTCAGAACAAGTTACAAATAAAATAACTATGGGAACCCAAGGTAAGGAGATCTGAAATGGTTGGCAAAATAAAGAAAGGCTTCATGGTAAAAATAGTTTTTGAGATAAACTGTAAAGGTGGATAGAATTTCAGCCAACAGTTTGGTATGTGGGGAAATAGAAGATAAGGTAAACCTTGAAGGATTGAGAGAATTCATAATAAGTTAGATGAGATATATTTTATCCAGGCTTAGTTGCTCTCAATTCCCACTAAGGCATGAATCTTTTCTCATCAATGATCCACCCTGATATTGTTATAACCACCTAGAATTATTGTCTATCCAGTATTTTTGGAACCTATGTGCTTAAGAAGTGATTCTACAGAAAATATGCTTCATAGGTATTTCCATGTATTTTAAATTACCATATACAAAATAAAACTTTGGACTGGTATATATCTTTTCTTAAAATTTTTAAAAATATTTATTTATTTTTTTTAATTTTTTTTTCAACGTTTATTTATTTTTGGGACAGAGAGAGACAGAGCATGAACGGGGGAGGGGCAGAGAGAGAGGGAGACACAGAATCGGAAACAGGCTCCAGGCTCTGAGCCATCAGCCCAGAGCCCGACGCGGGGCTCGAACTCACGGACCGCGAGATCGTGACCTGGCTGAAGTCTGACGCTTAACCGACTGCGCCACCCAGGCGCCCCATTAAAATATTTATTTATTTTTGAGAGACACAGAGAGACAGAGCATGAGTGGGGGAAGAGCAGAGAGAGAGGGTGACACAGAATCTGAAGCAGGCTCCAGGCTCTGAGCTGTCAGCACAGAGCCTGACATGGGGCTTAAACCCACAGACTGTGAGATCATGACCTAAGCCCAAGTCAGACACTAAACCGACTGAGCCACTCAGGCACCCCAGGACCAGTATATTGCTTTAAAAAAAATTTTTTTTACATTTATTTATTTCTTTTTTAGAGACAGAGAGAGAGCACAAGTGGGGGAGGGGCAGAGAGAGAGAGAGAAAGACACAGAATTTGAAGAGGCTCCAGGCTCTGAGCTGTCAGCACAGAGCCGGACGTGGGGCTCGAACTCACAAACCATGAGATCATGACCTGAGCAGATGTCGGACGCTCAAATGACGGAGCCACCCAGGCGCCCCAGGACCGGTATATTTCTAATATAAGTTTATCCCCTCTGTCCATTCCAAATCCACTCAATTTTGGAAGGGAAGAAACAATACAAATTAGAGACTTACCTACATTATTCAATTGAAGGAAAAGAACAGTTGCTGAGTTCTATCTAACTCTTGTGTAAATTACCAAGTGAATACAAACGGAACAAAATATAGAAGTACTTTACATTTTAAAACATGTATTCAATATAAAATACTCCTGATTAAAAAGCTTCCAGAAATCATTTTATACAACCATATACTAAATTTCAGGGAAATTTCCTTCATAGCTGTTAACAAAAATACCAAAAACTATATTCCTGCTAATTCTACATATACAGCAATACCAAAGTTATTTACGTACCAGAGAAGTGATAAAAAAATACATTTGTCCATATTTAAGTATCAAAGAGATACTCTTCCATTTTTTGTCATAAGGTATGTGTACTATACTGCTCTGTATATAGTGAATACTCAGAGTACTGGGGACTCTTTTCACCAGTCACTACTCCCGCCCCCCCCAAATAGTGGTATCAAATAGGTCAAAAGTTCAGCCTGTTTTATAAAATACCACTACTAGAGCACTAATTTGGAAGTCTGCTTCTCATTTAATGGGAAAAGTGATGAATCTACCAGAATTGAGAAGCAAATTCCTTCTGAAATTCCACCTGAAAATGTGTATCTACTACACAATGTGTTCGAGAGATTCCTAAATTACGAGATACATTTAATCTAAAGAAACCCTAGGGAGGTTCACTTTAATGAAAGCCTTTCACTGAAATTCCAATGATCACATATCAACACACATCATGATTTTTCTATGTAAATAAAAGTTAACACTTGGCAAGTCTTAGTTCTGACAGACTCCTGTCTTACCTAAGGCCTTTCTCATCAGCCTTCTAAAGACAACAGAAAAACCTAGTATGAAACAAGTCCACAGAAATGTCCAAATGCTTAGCCAAAGTATGTATACTGGAAGCAGCATGGTTTCTTAATAGCCAGTAGGCTGCACATGATCTTGTATCTTATGACCAGCTTGCTGAGGGACTGGCCATTTCTAAAACTTTAACAGGAAGAGAGAAGGAAGTAATAAAGGCAATATGCATCTTATTAGGCAAAACTTTGAACGAATAAACAAGCAAACACCCATATATTACCAAAAGAAAAAAATCAAACATCTCAAAAAGGGCCTGATCGAATTTAATTAACTGGCCTTACAGTCCTACAACTATATGCTTTGCTAAAATTTTGAAAGACGGTATTTAAAATGTTCAGGAAAGGTAAGATGTGTTTTCCTTACTCTGGCCCTTTGACTGCAATAATATTTTATTATTAACAGTGTTCTTCCTGGACTAAATAAAGGTTGGCCTCTATTCTGACTTGTTCCAAGTTACTTGGACTAGTTCTTGTACCTATCACGTGCCGAGTCGACAGCTCTTTTCTGAACTGGGGAATAGAATGAGGGGAAAAGTACAAAAGTCACCTTCCCTGAGATCTCTCACTGTATCTAACTTGGCATAGTTTACCGCCTCAGTTTTCCGCACCATATCCAGTTGCTCCGGCAACTGTCTACACAGCCGCGTTCAGCGAATCCTCCAACCCTGCTCTCCATCTCCGAACTAACCTCGTTTGCGAGGTCCGATCTGCACTGCTCCCAAACCCAGGCATTCGAACACTGCTGTTGCCCAACCCGGGCTCCTATGGCCAGGACAGATGCCGCTCTGAGTCCCAAGTCACGATACGCATGCCGCTCCCAAACTGAATTCGGGGCTGGGACGCGTTTTCTCCGGTCTTTGGCCACCGCCGCCGAGCCCCAGGGCAGGAGAGCAGGACAGTCCCCTTCTCCCTCCCACCCCCACCCTCACCCCGGCCCGGGCACTCCTGCAGCAGTACTCAGCCCCG